CGTTTCGGGGGGGGGGTGGGGGGGGGGGGGCAGAACCTGTAACGAGACCGCCTCCAGCTCTCGAGCGAGTGGAACATAATCTCCGTTAGACAATGGATGACAGAGTTTGGTGTGAGATAGGATAACCGTTTTACTCCCCGGAACCGCACACACACCATGTCCTGTGATGTGACCCTCGTTTGTTGTTGTTGGCCCCCTCACGGCGGTTGCTGGTGCGAACAGGTCTGTCCGTCCTCACTACCGACACCGATGGTGTCGACCACAGCATCGTAATCGAGGTCGCCAACCCCCACAGCCTAGACAGCTCTTGCCCGGCCGGAGTTTCGCCCTGCCTCGCGGACGGCGCGCTCGTCGTGCTTCTCGACGGAGAAGAGTCATTGCTAGCCCCCGGCACGGTTGTTCTCGGGGGAGACGTGGAAGTCTCGGCGGCTAACCTCCCTGGCGCGTGCCGCTCGTTCGGTTTCGAGAAGGTCCGGCGGGAAAAAAAATAGCTCCATGTTACTACGTTTGGTGGTTTTTCACGCCTCGCCTGGTTCGCTTGCTCTCGCGTCCAGCTATTGTAGATTTGAACCGCGCCTGCCTCCCCCTCTTGCTGGCCGCCCCAATGGGCAGAGTACCACCCGGAACAATTAGTTGTCGGGGGCTACTGCAACATTTTGACGCAAAACCAATCGATGTCGCTCTCACACCATCACTACAACGTTTTTCGGGTGCTGCATCTGATTGTGTTCGCAGTACTGGGAGCGCAAGAAGCTCGAGAACGCCCGCGCAGGCCGCCGCCTGAACACCCCGCCGAGCATGGGCGAATGGATCCTCGGGGTAAGAAAAGTTGATCACTGATGGGTAATGGTGTAGCTGTCGGCTACTTGGGTAGAGCAAAACCACGGAAGGGTAAGGTGTGGGGTAGACGGGAAACGCCTCGTAACCACGAGCAAGGTGCTTAAAGGTAGAGAGTACAGCATTGGCTGGTCGGCTAAGGAATAGACCGTATTTGCAACAATTTTCTCGAGGCAAGCTGCACCCGTCAATGTTACCACCATCGTGTACATCGACAGTGCACCGTCGAATGGCGTGATTCGTTGCCACGACTGGCGTGTAACGGATAGATACGTCCGTTTCCGCGAGTGGCATGATTCGTAGGTTGTGTAGGGTTCATTCCATCCCCGGATTCTTCCCATGTTTTTCACGCCGCACGTACCCAGCCCGACCTAGCTTTTCTTGAATGTTCCTTCTCACACATGAATGTTTCAAGGCTATGAACCCGGCCACTTCTGGTGGTGTTGCAGCGATAGCTCAACAGGCCTGTATTGCCTGTTTTGCAGCGATGCCTCAACAGGCCTGTGAACAAAAGGTCGTCGTTCGGTCGGTGTTATTACGTTTTTGACCTTTCCAGTACTTGTTGATTTTTTTTTGTTCTTCCAGGACCCCACCGCCACCAACATGAACGAGTGCGTGGAATACGTGGCGCACGCAGAGGCCGAGGAAGGCGGGGTGTTCGCCCACCAGTCCGAGCACGCTTCCTTCCAGATCGTGACTCCAAAGGCGACCGTCCGCCTGAGCCACGGCAGGCTCCACCAGATCGCCATGCGCGACCCGACCGACCGATTCGACCTCCCCGACCACTTGACCTGGCAGATGAACATGGCGATTGACCATGACGACGTGAGATAGTTGTTTGTGACCAAGTAAACATGCCATCGTTCAATGATAGTTTGCCTCAGATGATAATATAGTTTGCCTCAGTCTTGAAGGGGTTGGAACGGAATGACTGAAATCTAGCCATCTCTGAATAAATCAAGCCAAAAGTGTTTCGGGTGTCCGTGCTTTATTGGGTTACACTGTTCCGCGGCGCGTCGTATCTTGTTGTTGTCGAAAAGACGACAAACAAGGGACGCCACCTCCGGTCGGGCGTAATTATGCAACACGTCACCGCGGATACCTCCTTGATAATTAACTCAGTAGGGAGGGGGGGGGAGAGAGTGTTGTTTGCTTGTAAGGTGATTCCTGATAGAGAGGGGCCGTTTTTCCCTTTTTGGGAGGGGGTGAGCAGAGCCGTTGGAACTGATTGATGTGGCGGGAGCTCAATGGAACTTCCCCATGTCGCACATTGTCGCGTACGGGAGAAAGGGCTCATTTCCTCTCGCAACTTCTGGGTTCCATTGCGGGCATGGCCATAGGTCATCCCCCTCGTACGCAAGTAAGGGCGCCAGACATACATGACGGTACATCTCGAAAACGAAAACCTCCCAACCGAAAGCGTTTTGTTTCTGCTGCCGCTGTACGCAGGTAAGCCACGCTGCCAAGGGCATCCTCGGGCAAACGTTCGTGCCAACGCGTGACGCGGACGGCAAGCCCATCATGACCGGCTTGGAGGCGATCCGTGGCACGGAGGAAGACTGTAAGTTGTTGGCGGAAATGAATGTCCTTCAGTCGGTTTTGATGCTGACGAACGTGCAGCGTACGCGCCGCGTGTCCTTAAACAACTTCCCGATCAACGTGGCACAGAAGAACAAGACGTTTGTTCGGAGCTACACAAATCGTGTTTACCTGGTGGTCCTATTTTGACTGCTGTGTCGTCTCTCCCTCTGCTTTCGCTGTAGGCGTGCAGGAGGCAGCACAAGTACAACGAAGTCTGGGTGCTATATCTCGAATGCAGTGCCAGCCCGCTCGTTAGAGACTTATTTCGGGCGAGGCTCAACAAGTTATTGCCGCAACGATGTACATGTGTAGGCTGCTTATCCTTTCTGCCCATATCATTTATTTATTTTGTCCGAATGTTTCATATTTCTGTCCTGTCCTACGTTTTTCGAGCCAATAGTGTACGCCGACTCCTTTTAGCACGGCACTTGCGTTACCCCTTGTGCTTTCGAGAGCATGTCTAACCTCTGCAAGCACTACAGTACGTCGTCCTTCGGAAGCACGGGCAAGACTCGAATTCATGCCCTTGGATGGATACATCCATTCCTGATGCAGCTGTATCAACGTCATCCCCTGGTCGACGGTGAAAACGTTGGGGGTCCGTGCCTTGTTGCCTTAAGGGCGTGCCGCCTACCCGTCTCAACAGTCTTATGGGCTCGATTCAAGCCCAAATTTCTCCTACGGCTGTGGTCGTCTCGTGTGCACAGCCTGATGGTGCTTCGATCGTTAGTCAACACCACGTAGTATGTAGTGTAGTCGAATGCACACAAGCGGCAGGTTTGGGGGGGGCCACCCGATTTATCTGCCCCAGGGACCACCCCGAAGCACGCAAAAACTCAACATTGTTTAGCCGTGGTCTACTTGAGGTTCACTGGAATGGACTCCACTCCCCAAAGACTATACCCGATGGTAGTTGCATTGCAATGATGTACTTGCTCATCGGGTCGAAGTCAGATCGATCGCTGTCGAGCTGTGCCAAGGGTGAGAGACGGTCTCTTCTTTCCACACTCAACACTCCGAATCCTCACGATGCATTTCTTGTCACTTGGGAGGTTGGTATTGTGCGATTTCCTTTTTCCCATGCATGCATGTGCATTTCTCTTTTTCTTTTAATGTGAAGAAGACAACAACAACAGCAACAAAATTATAGACACCAAGCATCGATAAGCACGCGCCCTGCTTCCCAGTTGTCGTACATCTGATGAGCCCATTTTCTACCTTTTTCTGTCATCTGAGACTCCATACTTTTTTCCCCCCTCTTGTCTGGGCAGACCGTGTGGATGGAGCTCTTGGTGTGGATTTCCTTCAAGACGCCCACACCTCTTAGGCGCTGAACTTGAAACGGAACGAACGTGCCAATGTAAAACTAGTGTTTCCACAGCACGGTAATGTAGACACGAGGTTCACGTTGCTGCAGCCGAGGTGTATCATTACCGGGCTCCTTCGCGCCCGGCACTCGGGGAGTCCTACACGCAGGTTGGCAGGGGGAACCGGGGCTGCCCACCATCTTGCTATCGAATCAGTGGGGGCAGTGTATGAACCGTAGAACACAAGTAGTAGTATTAAGAGGTTGATGCTGGGGGGACAAATTATGTCGAGAGATATAAAGTATTGTGACGGGGAGATTTCGATATTGTATACTTACTTTCGAGTGGGAGAGCTCGCGGATACCGTACCACTTGTGCGTTTCACCAGGGTTGTGTTTTGGGCGAAACGGAACGTTATCAATGGTTGAAACCCAAACCGAAACTTTTGAGGATGGTTTGGGAGATTCGCCTGCGGAGGAAAGGCGGCTTGCGGGTTACATTGTGATCCGCGA